CCTCAGGCCTGATGCTCGTCTCGCACGAGGGTCTCGGCAAGTGAGGGTTGCTGTACACGCGCACCTCAGGCCGGATGCTCGTCTCGCGCGAGGGTCTCGACAAGTGAGGGTAGCTGTACACGCACACCTCAGGCCTGATGCTCGTCTCGCACGAGGGTCTCGACAAGTGAGGGTTGCTGTACACGCGCACCTCTGGCCTGATGCTCGTCTCGCGCGAGGGTCTCGGCAAGTGAGGGTTGCTGTACACGCGCACCTCAGGCCGGATGCTCGTCTCGCACGAGGGTCTCGGCAAGTGAGGGTTGCTGTACACGCACACCTCAGGCCTGATGCTCGTCTCGCACGAGGGTCTCGGCAAGTGAGGGTTGCTGTACACGCGCACCTCAGGCCGGATGCTCGTCTCGCACGAGGGTCTCGACAAGTGAGGGCAGCTGTACACGCGCACCTCAGGCCTGATGCTCGTCTCGCACGAGGGTCTCGGCAAGTGAGGGTAGATTTATTAGAGTGTGCTCGCGGCTGTGGCCAAAAAATGATGCTCCAATGAATGGGAAAAGGTTGGAGGTGGGTTGTAGTGCGACGATATTGATAGTTCTTAGAAATATTTACACACTGAAAACAACTATTCAATGACGACGCTTGGGTCTGGAGAAAAACTTATTAAATATTGTAAACTTGAACACATAATAGCAAATGAACATTCATATTTTATGGAACTCGGAATCGCGCAGTCACTTTTAAGCAAAATTGTGCATTAATTAAATGCCGCAATATGTTAGTGAACTATCTTCAAATCATTTATTTACACTTCAAGAGCTGCCATTTGTTCGCTTCCTGACACATTAAAAATATTTATTTATGATTGTGTTTAAGACCCCTACGGTATAAATGAGATTAATTTGGATGAAATTTTCTTTTAATGTGAAGCAAAATATTGATTTCTCATCAGTTTGTTTCGACGACCTTGCAACTGCTGTGGGAAATACTAGCTACAGGTATGCGAGTTACGCGCATATAATCAAACGTCATGTGCCAGCGAACAATTGCTTCCAGCTGCCTCATAAATCCCCATGTGCACCAGCAGTCTTAACTGCTGGGAACCAACCTCTCTGCATCTCTACCCTATACTCTGCAGGCTACTCAACCCCATACTCTGCAGGCTACTCAACCCAATACTCTGCAGGCTGCTCAACCCCATACTCTGCAGGCTACTCAACCCCTTACTCTGCAGGCCACACAACCCATACTCTGCTGGCCACTCAACCCCATACTCTGCAGGCCACTCAACCCATACTCTGCAGGCCACTTAACAGCCTAACTCTGCAGGCCACTTAACCCCTAACTCTGCAGGCCTCTCAACCCCTCAATCCTATACTTCACTTTTGCCACGATTCGTTGCAATCCGCAGATGCTGCAACCGACGCAGGCGGGTGCACTGCGGGCCGCTATGCAGGCAACAGGTGCGCCCGACACCCGCGTCTAATGAAAGCTTCTGTCGCTCCAAAGAGAAATTAATAAAGTCCCTCGCAAATTAAATCTACGCTGACAGCGCGTGATGAAGACACTTCCATGCAGTGCATCGCCATCAAGCCTGCACATGGGCTTGCAGCGTCCGACGCACGAAACTAACTTCAGCTAATAAATGAAGTGCAGTGAACGCTTTGCGAGGCTAATCGTCCGAACTATAGTGCAATTTAAGCAAGAAATAAAGTGCATCGTACGTATGCAGTAAGTAATTTTGCCGAGTTTAAGCCGTGTGTGCAACAAATTAATTGCATTATTGGCAAAATACGCCGTACATTGCTAATACTTCGGAATTCAAGCGGTGAATGAAGTGCGATGTATTTTTTGCAACGCTTATTATATTGCGAATGATGGGCAAACTGTAAACAGTGCTAACTCAACGATAACTCTTCAGTGTAAACTATTTTTATCAAATAGTCACTCAAGTGATTATTTGAATACCTGCATAAATTCCTGCAATTAAACCCTTCAATGAGTGAACGATTAATACCAAACATTGGAGAGCCGAAAATATATTCCAGATACTTAAATTTTGCATCCCGACGTAACCCGTCGCGCCTTCACCTGCATCGTTGCAAGTGCATCTTCATTTCGCACATATGCACAGCGCGACAATTTATTGCGGACTTTGAACTTAGACATTGAGACCTCACTATTAAAACTGAAAGTCATCAAACGCCCACAACTCTGTGGTTTGGACGGTCACGCGTAACTCTGCTCGGGTTTGGACGGCCACGCGTAACTCTGCTCGGGTTTGAACGGCCGCGCGTAACTCTGTTCGGGTTTGGACGGCCACGCGTAACTCTGCTCGGGTTTGGACGGCCGCGCGTAACTCTGTTCGGGTTTGGACGGCCGCACGTAACTCTGCTCGGGTTTGGACGGCCGCGCGTAACTCTGCTCGGGTTTGGACGGCCCAGACGCTGACAACAGCCGCGGCCGTGCTGGGTGAAGGCATCTAATTATGATCGCTGATGCCTCACGACCAACAAGCTTGCGGCGCCTCGAGGCTGTACTTCAAAAATGCCTCAGCCTATGGAAGGTGCACATTTTAATTTTTCTGACATTTGTCTCTTGCAACCTAATAGGCTCAAATAAAATAGTGTAAGCAGGAAATTATATCAATACGCATGTACGATATTCGTGTTTGACTTTTCATGCCAGACGCCTGTGAAGTAAATAGTCGTATTATTTATAGATTCAAGTGCTGCAACTCCGCAGTAAAGATATAGAGTCTCTATTTCACAATTTGCATTCTATTTCCTCTTTTCATTCTTTAGGGTACTCAAGATGTTTTTTTAGCCAATTGTTTTATCTGAAACAATTTAATTGCACTGGGGTTCTAATAATGTGATACTTATATATTCTAGCGTCCATCCAGTCGCGTGGCATTCAGGCAACAAATTAATACCTATATTTTTAAATTCACCCAGTTTAAACATCTTTATTTGATCCCGTTTAAATTTTATATTCACATTTGTGCAAGTTGATTTAATATTTTAAATTAAATTGATAAATATTTTTTGAAAATTCAAATGTTAAAAATTATATTAAAAATTTCCATCTTTCTTAAGATAAAGAAAGAGTTTACTACCCGCTCTACCTTCATTTAGTACGAGGTTGAAAAGAGAGTTGCATTGGCAGTCGACGGTTTTGCCAGCGAGTTCTTGCCTTAATTTCGCCTTATTCATCGACATCATTTGCATGTCATTCACTTCATTGGCCCAGTTTATTCATATTCAGGCTTTACCTTGTTTTTTCGCAACTATCACTAATTCTAACTAACAGCATGATTTAATAAATTATTAAACTCTCACTGGGCTAATCCTCCTCACTAATTTAACTCTGTATTACTTTGCTTCAGCCTCCTAAGTAGATTCTTCATTTATTGTAATTATTTTCTCATTTGGCTATTTAATGATTATTTCCAATTATACATGTCAAGTACTTTGCAATATAGTTAATTATATTTCTTTGTCAGCAGAAGTTCAAGTGTATTTCTTTATCTACGGTACTTCAGAACAACCCGGGGCGACCGGG